ATAGTATGATTCTTGACAGTAGCATATGTCTAGTTAATGTTAACATAGGCAAACATAAGTTTAGTTAATTTATGCTATATAATCTTGCCTTACTTTGAATGGCAACAGTTTAAGACCATGGAAATAAACTATGGGAAAATAGTAACTGTTTAATAAAAATAATTAACCATGGCAGAATAACAATTCACATTTTAACTAGAAATAACAGTGACAAAGAGGGACAACTAAAACGATTATTTAGCAAATAACTATGGCAAAGAGGCACAACTACAACATTTATTTATAGCAAATGGCATGACAAAAAGGTATAAATGCACAGTTTACTCAAATTAACTGTGTTCACTAAGCAAACAACAACTTACATTTCCATCTAAATCTATATATATAATACATTTTCTATATATTTTATTAGAATATAAAAAAAACAATAATATTCGTAATCATTTCATTATTACTTGAATTTGGATCATAGAGAAGAATTGCTAATAATAATAATAATAATAATAATAATAGGCCTCATTTATATTGTAATTACATGACTTAAAATATATATTTATTATTTTACTTTGTAAATAAAATTCAAAAAATAATTGTAATTCTTGTTTAACGTACACATAGAAACAGTCACACGCGCATTCTGACTAAACAGCAGTTCTATTTCATACGCATGCATCCTTCACGCAGTGACGTAACGCCTATGCGCTCTTGTGCGGGGCCCAGACCCCTAGGGGTTCATAATGCCCCCTACCCACAGGGTCCTCGATCTAGCACCTTGAGCCAAAAAGGCTTTGTTGATACATAACAGCATACTAATGTTAATTCATTGTCTTGTTTGTATACTTGGTTAGCCTATACATGGGTTTTTAATCGTTTGTAATTTTAGTATTTATTATTTAATGCGTTTATTGGTATTATTGTACATTTTTTTTATAGTTTATACATGACTAACATATTAAATTATATATTGAATGTTATTTTTGAATAATCTGACTCAAAACTTGCGTTGAAAGGAACTAAACTGGGTACTTATATCCTTTTGCCAAAGTTTGTCAAGTTGTCTTGAATCAGAAAACCCACGGCAAAAGGGCATAACTGACATTTTGAGCGCAAAAATCAATATTTATAGAAAAAATGTGTGCTACACTGGGAGAGACATTATTTGTCTATTTGAATACATTTACCATGAAATCAAAAACTAAAACACATTTTAGGGCTAAATAAATTACACGTTTTTCTTAATATCTCCAAAACAGCAAATTGTCAGTTATGCCCTTTTGCCATGGGAGGGCAGAATAGGCCTAAATCATTATGTTCATTATGCAAACTGCAAAAATGGTTCATTATTTAAATGTGATGGAGAAGCTTACCAGGTCAAATATTATGGTACATATGTAGTTAGCAAAATGTTTGAATCTCCGCGTCGTTCATGGCATTCGCTCGAATAAGCTCGAAATTTCAAATTAGTCGCCATATTTTTTTGCAATAATCATAAGATAATTACGGAATGACAACCAAATGTGTTTAAAAACGTTTTGAGAACTTGACGAGAGTGAATTCCAGAAATTACCTTCATCACATGCCTCATATAATATGCAAGCTCAACTATACAAATTATTTGGTAAAATATTATATAAGGCATCCGTACCTTCACAACCACTGGTTGTAGAACCAGGGAAAAAATATATGCATGTTTCTATTTCTTCCAATGAGATATATTTTCCGAAAATGATATAACCTTTGACACATAATATACTCCTCCTAGACCCATAGACATTTAACCCCTCTCAGACGTTTAGAAAACGTTTTTGTTGTCTTGTAAATCAAACGCTCAAAATGTCATGCTTCTGTCAGAAAATGTGCGGTCTGGCCATTTTTTGGGTCTTATCTCCTACATTCGAAGTTAGAAGAAAATTATTTCATTTGTGGGCGAAGAGGTAATATTTGTTGTTACATTTGTGGGCGTTGTCACATTTGTGGGTGATGGTCGTTATTACATTTGTGGGCGGTGCTGTTACATTAGTGGTTGTTATTACATTTCTGGGCGTTTTCACACGTGTGGGTTGTACAGGATCTCGCGTTGAATTCGTGTAAAAAATGACCAAAAACAGCACATTACGTGTGCTGTGAGCGATCGTACTTTTAGCGCGCAAATGTTTCGAAACTCTCTTCTTGGTTTACGATTCATAAATAAGCAAATTCTCGCGCCTGGCTAATCCAGCTAGTCTGAACGCCCGGCAAAAGCAGAGCTTAACGCAAGGCTGGCTTATCTCCAAGTCACTCTCCCTATTTTTTTTTCAAAATTTAAAAGTGGAGAAAAAAGGAAATTGTATTCAAATTTAAGTCTGAGAGTGCCATTTCCGGCCAACTAGAGATGCCATAATCACCTCAGCCCCATGGTGGAGCTGAAGTGGTCTACACTCCAGCTGTATAAGCCCATCCTTGGGCTCCCTCTATTTCGAATTCCCGGATCCGCCACTGTATTTTGAAAATGTAGTGTGGAAATAAATTTTAGTTGCATTCCATAAAATTAATTAGATATGACTTATAAAAGACTATAGATATCAGAATTTCTTGGGGCTTCGCCCCCCTAGACCCCCTAAGCGACGCCAAGCCAAAGCTATATGGCCTATGGACAAAGATTTTCCCTCATTCGTTCCCCCACTTTCCACAACGGATAGACGCCCTTGATTTCAACACTTTAAAGATTAACATATAAACGCTTGAGACAATTCAATCTGTATCTATCGGAGTATTCTTTCAATTAAACATTATAAATATAAACTCCGGTTAAATAATGATTTTTATCATAAAATTAATAATCGGATCATAATCAATCAATGTCAATCAGTTACTATTCAAAGTGATAGTGTAGATTTGTTTCGTTTTGTCTAATGTCTCTTAAAATTAAATAATTATATCTATATCTATACTTAGGACGAATAGAGATTCCTTTCATCAAGCAATTATTAAATCGTTTCCCAAACATCGAGAACACAGTTGTTGAACCAAGTGCCGACGCAATTGTTGCATACCAAAGTTCCATAAAGGGCAAGTGGAACAACGTAAAGTTTTCATGGTTCAACGGTACATTTCAACAGTATAGAGAACAACTTGAATCAGCTGGAAATGATCAGAAATTTCACCATATCAATATGGTGGATTCCATATACTATGTGGACAACGTAGAAGACGATATTTTATTTATGTACGATAAATTGGAGAAAGGAGGAATCATGCTTATTGTGGTTCAATCTGGTAAGCTTCTGCTGCACCATACCATCACTACCACCAACACAACCACCAACATCACTACTACTACCACTACCACCACCAACACCACCACCACCACCACCACTACCACTATTACTACCATACTACACTACTACTACGACTATGACATACAGTACTTTTTTACTTTTGATTTTTTAGATCAATGTGTGATGTACAAACTTAAGCAACAATATCCCAGTTTGTCACCAAATATTACGCAGCTTTGTTCCACCAGCATCACTGACATTTGCAAGACTAACCAAATTCCATTTCATCTTCACCACCAAGAAAGTTATGGTGACATCACAGGGCTTTTTTCTTTGGACGGTCTCACAAGAAACGAAAAGTTGTTGCTGGATTTTTGGACTGAAATGAAAGATTTTAAAAAACAAGTGCCAGAAAGTTTGTATAAAGAAGTAATTACATTCATCAAAAGCCCAAAATGCTCAAAGGAAATTGAAGGCAAATTAATGGTTAATACTGATAATGATATGATTTTAATCAAAAAACAGGATTAAGGTCTTGAATAAGCATTTAATGACTTGCTGTGTATATTATACGTGATACTTGATACGATGATCATATACTTGTATTGGAGAGTATAAGTCACACTAATTAATATTAATAATTACAATATATCAAAAATCAAATCAACATCAAATTTTATTCAAGAATTGTAGCTTGTAGCTTTCCATCTAAAATTAAATATGGCATAAAATGAAAAAATGGTTACAACTACAATAAATAACAAAGTGAGCCTTATCTAAACATTTAAATTACCAAAAAACAAATTGATAAAGACGAAAAGGTAGAAAACAATTTTTGGGGAAATTATTAGTGGATATGTTACATTATTAAATATATTTTTAAATACCGATAAGTCTGCTAATTCTCATAATTTTACATCTGATTGAGTACATTTATGGTGTGTGGTATGGGGTTGTTTTTGTACCTATTAGTTCTGACTTTTGGTAGTTCATATGTATTACATTTTTTAGATTAAGGTGGTACGAGATTCTAATGGGGAGCCAAGATTTAATTTAGCAAAATCTAAACATGACTTATGTCTTCTGGTTTGAGATAATCAAGCTGGTATGGATAGAGCATTATCGTAGTTGTCATATAGATTAGAACTCTTTTCTGTATACTTTCTAATATATCAACAATGGCGGATCCAGGAATTGGAAATAGTGGGAACCCAGGGAGGGGATTTCACAGACTGGATAGTTGAGACCGAGGTAAGAAAAAGTATTATTATGGCACTAGATGGCCGGAAATGGCATTTTCAGACTTAAATTTCAACATAATTTTCCTTTTTTACTCAATTTTAAAATATAGTTTAGGGAAATTGTTGGGGGGGGGGCGCCCTTGAGTCCGCAACTAGTCAATATGCTTAGTGGTTAAACTAGCATTTTAGACAGGAGTAACATGCTCCAGTACATGTCTATGTAGCCTTTATACACTACAACAAGATCAGATAGCGGCAACTTAATTTTTTTTTTTTAGTAACTTGATCACGTAAAACTTCTTATTAGCTTTTTTTTTTTATTATATAATTATTATATATTATTATTGTAATCATCCCACTTATCGTTAGCATTGACCGTTAACCTTGGCCTATTTGTTAATTTTTGTTAATTTGGGTAGACAATAAATTGTGTATTGACTGCAATGAATGAACATAATTATTGTTAATAATAAACATAAGAAATCAAGCTATCCTTATTGTTTGTCCTGCTTTTTTTCTTCTTCAAAGATGATGTGACCATTCATTTTTGCAACTTTTCTAAGAGCCTCGTCATGTCATTCAGAAAACAACTTTAAATTAAGTTGGAGGTTATCTCTTGTTTCAGGAAGATGTAACTGTGTCTTTAGAACAATTAGTCCAAGCAAAAGTGTGAATAAATTTAAGATGATCAGTGTGTCATGCATTGATTTTATTATTTAAACAAATCAAGCAAGTAATAATCAAGTACAAATTTACGATCTATAGGTAACAGAAAATAAATTGTAGTGAATCAATATAGCTTAAATTAGTCGAATTCTAATTGCTTTTCTTTGAATTTTTCCCGAAGTGTTGATAAGTTCAGATCGGAATGGTAACCATGCTGGATCTCCAAACTTAATAATATGTTGAACCAGGGCCGTATATAATTTTGAAATAGCGTAAGGGTTATTGCACAGAACTAACCTGCCTTTAAATACAAACAATACTATTTGCTCAAGTAATAGCAGCAATATTTAAAAAAAAAAAAAAGTACTCTAATAGTGCTCCAGACCCGGTTGAAATTTCTTATGGTCTCATAAAAAAAAAACCTTCCCAGCATGCACCACTTTCTGGCCATCCTCTATTTTAAAAAACCGTTCAGTTACCCCACCTCATCCTGCACAGAACCTAATTTTACCTTAATACACAAGAAAGGGTCTACAAAGATCTATTATAATGGTTTAGAATAATGATTGGTCTATTGTTAATATATCTTATCGCTCGTCGTCTTTAACTCTATAATGTTTCCCATAAGTGATGTAATATACAAACCTACAAACCTGCATTAATAACCTCTAATCTAATGTTTTAAAATTAGAACAATAGATTGGTAGTCCAATTCGTTTTCATTCCGTAAAGGCATCTTACGGGGGTGGGGGTCATCTTATATTTCGTTTATGCCTTAAACCACGTATTGTTCAGTTTCTTGAAAAAAAGCTCGCAAGTATATTGTTGAAAGGTGAAGGTAAAATGTAAATGAGGTAAAAAATGAGGTAAAGGTATGAGAATGATAACTCTTAACTCGAAGCGTCACAAATGGTGTATTGCTGTGCCAGTTTCTAGAGCAGACGGTTGTGTGCCCCTCACAAACCATGTTGTTTAAGGTATAACATAGATAATTCACACTAATGTAAGGAGTTAGAATTCTTAACAATTTTTTGTGACTCCTCCAAATGATAAATAATTGATACTGGTCGATAATTTGCTAAAATAGATGTATCTACCGGAACAATTTTTGCTTCCTTCCATTCCAATGTGAGAGTCCCCTGTACTAAGAGAAAATGGATTATACAATGGGTGTGAGATTGAAGGACGCAGTAGCCAAGGGGATATGTTACCGGGACCCAGAAGAACATGATGTTGAAAAGTTGCATTAGCATCAGAAAAATCCTTAGGGGTAAAAGCAATGCTTTTAGTCGGGTAGGAACAGGGGGTTCCCATGCACCCACAGTGTATATTCTGTCTCTTATACACATCTAGATGTGTATAAGAGACAGGAACTGTGTCCTTAGAACAATTAGTCCAAGCAAAAGTGTGAATAAATTTAAGATGATCAGTGTGTGATGCATTGATTGTATTATAAGAAAAAATCAAGCTATCCTTATTAACTGTCCTGCTTTTCTCTTCTTCAAAGATGATGTAACCATTCATTTTTGCAACTTTTCTAAGAGCCTTGTCATGTAATTCAGAAAACAACTTTAAATTAAGTTGGAGGTTATCTCTTGTTTCAGGGAGATGTATCCCAGAACTGTGTCTTTAGAGCAATTAGTCCAAGCAAAAGTGTGAATAAATTTAAGATGATCAGTGTGTCATGCATTGATTTTATTATTTAAAAAAATCAAGCAAGTAATAATCAAGTACAAATTTACGAAGGTATAGCTAACAGAAAATAAATTGTAGTGAATCAATATAGCTTAAATTAGGAAGTCGAATTCTAATTGCTTTTCTTTGAATTTTTCCCGAAGTGTTGATAAGTTCAGATCGGAATGGTAACCATGCTGGATCTCCAAACTTAATAATATGTTGAACCTGGGCCGTATATAATTTTGAAATAGCGTAAGGGTTATTGCACAGAACTAGCCTGCCCTTAAATACAAACAATACTATTCGCTCAAGTAATAGCAGCAATATTTAAAAAAAAAATTTAAAAAAAGTACTCTAATAGTGCTCCAGGCCCGGTTGAAATTTCTTATGGTCTCATAAAAAAAACCTTCCCAGCATGCACCACTTTCTGGCCATCCTCTATTTTAAAAAACCGTTCAGTTACCCCACCTCATCCTGGACAGAACCTAATTTTACCTTAATATACAAGAAAGGGTCTACAAAGATCTAATATGATGGTTTAGAATAATGATTGGTCTATTGTTAATATATCTTATCGTTCGTCGTCTTTAACTCTATAATGTTTCCCATAAGTGATGTAATATACAAACCTACAAACCTGCATTAATAACCTCTAATCTAATGTTTTAAAATTAGAACAATAGATTGGTAGTCCAATTCGTTTTCATTCCGTAAAGGCATCTTACGGGGGTGGGGGTCATCTTATATTTCGTTTATGCCTTAAACCACGTATTGTTCAGTTTCTTGAAAAAAAGCTCGCAAGTATATTGTTGAAAGGTGAAGGTAAAATGTAAATGAGGTAAAAAATGAGGTAAAGGTATGAGAATGATAACTCTTAACTCGAAGCGTCACAAATGGTGTATTGCTGTGCCAGTTTCTAGAGTAGACGGGGTTGTGTGCCCCTCACAAACTATGTTGGTATAACATAGATAATTCAGACTAATGTAAGGAGTTAGAATTCTTAACAATTTTTTGTGACTCCTCCAAATGGTAAATAATTGATACTGGTCGATAATTTGCTAAAATAGATGTATCTACCGGAACAAATTTTGCTTCCTTCCATTCCAATGTGAGAGTCCCCTGTACTAAGAGAAAATGGATTATACAATGGGTGTGAGATTGAAGGACGCAGTAGCCAAGGGGATATGTTACCGGGACCCAGAAGAACATAATGTTGAAAAATCCTTAGGGGTAAAAGCAATGCTTTTAGTCGGGTAGGAACAGGGGGTTCCCATGCACCCACAGTGTATATTTTTTTTAACTAACATTTTTGTAATCCTCAAAGTGTCTCATGAAAGAATTTTGATGTTCTCATAAAAAAAAGTCCCATTGGGTTGTTTGGTGGCCATTTTGGTGGCCATCTTGGATTTTCAACGAAAATCATTAATTTTTATAATTCATTGACTAAAAATTATATAAAATCAAATAAGCCTCTAAATGTATATAGTAAGCAATGTTTATGTTTCTAATACAAAAAGATTGACTTCGCATTTACATTTGACGTCCATATTGGCAACCATCTTGGATTTTGAATGAAAATCATTAATTTGTATGTTTTAATAACTAAAAATCATATTAAATCAAGTGAACCTCTAAATTTACACAGTAAGCAGTGTTTATGCTCCCAATACAAAACACTGACTTCCCAAAACATTTGGCGGCCATTTTGGTGGCCTTCTTGGATTGTCAATGAAAATAATTAATTTGTATAATCTATTAACTAAAAATCATAAAAAATCAAGTGAACCTCTAAATGTATATTATAGTAAGCAGTGTTTAAGTTCCCAATATATAACCTTGACTTCCCAATACATTTGGCGGCCATTTTGGTGGCCATCTTGGATCTTTTTTTTTAAATCATTAATTTGTATACCGACAGTTTTTGGCCCAACACGACCATATATACACTGATGCCAGGATGTTGGCCATATTCACTCTAATGAGTGCATCTTACTTCATGCTTAGACAGTTAGCGTCCAGAGCATTTTCTCCTGGTTGCTAACTCCCAACTTGGGTTTCACCTCCTGTTCTATTATTCCAGCACTGTTCAGCACCTTTGAACCATGAATGTTTGTAATAAGTTTGCTCAGATTCATCATCAGCTCACGACGATGTATCCACTTCCCTCACTCCTCAGCTCAACAGCATATTTCATCTCGAGTGGGAAAATCTGAACAAAATTATGACAAATATTCATGGTTCAAACTGTGTTGAACAATGCTGGTGGAATCAAGGTACAAGAGGTAAAACCCGGGTTTGAGCTCTGGACGCTTCCTGTCTACAAACGAACAAAATGTGCTCCTTAAAAGGGGATATGATCGTGACCCTGGCACCAGTTCAGGTTGTGCTGGGCCCAAATTTTCTGAGGGAGCTGTATTTAATCTGCCTACACTGAAAAGTGTAACAAAGTGCATTAAAGATTATTATGTCTGGTTACTTGCATATTGGTAGCAGCGGTGAGAAACAACTTGTTCCAGGATTTGGTGGCTTTTGACTTGTAAGTCAACTATCGCCAGTATTAGATCTATCTACCAGCCAGGCACAGAGTATTCAGTCATCAAGAATCTATGGAAGCAGTAAAAGGATGCCATCATGGAGAATGGTCAGAAGTGTGTTCTCAATACTTTTAAACTTTGTGGCTGCAATAAAGCACCCACAACCTATATCCCAACTTTCAACCTGTGAACTATCGGCTTGGTAACTTCAAGCAAGCTAATAGGCCGATATTCTGTTGCAACAAGCCTTGTGATTTTTCTTAGATTATTATGTACCACTCTGGTACATTTTATGATGATCCATTTTGTGTGATATTGTAGTGAATGCATAACCTCCTTGGCGGCAGTAATAAAGTACCGGTATGTGTAAAGCGGGTCCTCCATTAATTATAGTCATTTAAAGAATTACATGATTTTATATAAGGGATTTTCTGTGTAAAACATCCACAAAAAAGGCTCATTGGATGTAATAGCATGTGTAGTACAATAATAAATGTACAGTATATTTATTGTGAAACTAAACATTGCATCTGACTGGTGTTCATTGGTGTGGATAGCATTTGTGAACAGGAATCTTGAATCACATTGGCCAGAAAATCATGGTCATTGAGTTT